GCGACTACACCTACCTCACTCCGGAGGATATCGTGGACCGGCCGTCGGGCTACGCGGGTGCGGAGGAAGACGAGCCAGATACTCTTCTTCTCAAGCATCGCAAGAATACCTACGCCTTGCATTTCCCCGCGTACGCCATCAATGACGGGGCGCTCAGCGTGGGCGAGTTGAGGCGCCGGGCGGCGGAGGTCACGCGCACACCTAACCCGGCGCGCATCAAATTACTCTACAAGGGGAAGTTGTTGGATGATGACTCGGTGCCGTGCCGGGCTGAGGGTCTCAAGCAGCAGTCGGAGGTACTGTGTGTTGTTTCGGAGGTGCAGCCCGGTGAGAGCACGCCCAGTGAAGGCTCGGAGGCGGAGGCGGAGCCGGAGAAAGCCGATGAGGCTCCCCGTCTAGACGAGGTGCAGAGCGGCGGGGAGCGAAGGAAGAGGAATCGGAACAGAAACAAGAAGAAGAAGGGCAAGGGCCGGAATAAGATGGCTGATGCGGCTGCTGATGATGCGGACGGGCTCGCCCCGCCGGCGGAACCCCCACGACCGTCCTCTGCTGGGGGCTCGTCATCGTTACCGGCGCCGTCTCCTAACCTGAAAGTCTTACGCACCCCGCTCGAGCAAGCCAATGCGTTGATCACATACCTGCGGACTGAGCTACTGCCCCTCTGCGAGGCGTATGTCGCTCATCCACCTACTGATGCCAAGGCACGCGATTTCGAGCACAAGAAGCTGAGCGAGACGATCCTGGCGCAGGTCATTCTCAAAGCGGACGGGATCGAGCCAGACGGTGATGAGGCTGCTCGAAATGCGCGTAAAGCTCTGGTCAAGGAGGCGCAGGCGGCTCTCAACAGACTAGACAAAGCTGCAAGGGAGTGAGTTGCACCTGGGGAAGTTGATTGATTTTAAACACTGTATATTTGGGACTTGCATTACTTGAACGTATGTATTTGGCACGTGTGTTTCCGGGTCTGGCTATCGACAGAAAAGGGAATAGAATTGCTCTTGATCAAGGAAGATACAGAGGGATCGGGTATCTCTGGAACTTTCATCGCTTTGTGTTTATGGATTATGGACATCAGGTCGTGTCCAATGCACATACTTGTACTTGGAAATTTGCATTGAGATGGCGTCTGGGGATTGATGTCTTGGGATTGTTTCTAGAGACCGATGAGATGGCTCTTGACATGAAGATGAAAGTCGATTGCTGAAGAGACAAAAGAACCGAGAACATTATTGCTTAGCCACAGAATACATGCTTCAACCAGGAAGCCTGGAATAGTACCTTGGTAGACGCACTAATTTAAACTGGTTTAAGGCTCCCAGATCTGGACTCCAGATGATCTATCATCCAAGCACCAGTTGAGCCAGTTGCAAGATTGGCTGGACTGTTGAGGCTTCGAGCTAAACCTTTCATCAGCCCCGTGCCGTGTCTTTCTTTCTCCAATCTCTTGTCTCTTTCTCTCTCTCTCTTTCTTCCTTATTATTATTGTGCTTTTCCTCTTTCTCTTTCTACTCCGTACTCCACTACGGACTCTGTGATCTCTTCTCCTTTCTCCTTGGCTCCGGTGCTGTCGATCCCAACCCTCGCCCCGATTTTCTTCTACTTTTTTCACGTCAATTATTCACTTCACCTTTAATAATAATGCATTTTACTGCTTATTTCTAAATTTCACTAATCTTGCAACAGCGTGGAGCTCTCTTACGTCGGCGCCACAGTCTAGCCCAGATCCTGTGCATCCACTCCTTTTCATCCTTTTCCTTCTTCCCCCTCTTCTATCTTCGCATCTCGTCCTCGTCCTCCGACGGGTCTCGTCCCCTCATACTGTCGTCGCTAATCTAATTTTCATTTCTCTCTTTCTATACTTGCCTTATATCCCACTTTCGCTTGGTATCTTTGACAGTTCATACCGAAACCGCCTGGCCTTTCTAAACGGGAAGACGCATCGCCCATCCACGGTACCGAGTCCGCCGGTTCCCTTTTAACTACCAACACCAGCTGCGGAGCAAGTGTCGAAATCCCCGGCTCAGAGCGGAGGAATAGAACCAAAGAAAATATCCTGCTGCTGTTTTCTTTTCTGGTCTATTTACGTTTTACTGTTTTCGGGCGGCCTTCCCTCTTATCCGGCCTTCTCCCTAGCTTCCACCCCCTGACACCGAATCAATCCATTTGCGAACATCCACGAACGCTGTGCAACTCGTCTCATAAAGCGTCGTCGATTGAAACAATATATTTCGTCGATTGACCGCGACCGGTCGGCGCCCGTGCCGTTCCCTGGGATGGCCTGATTGAGGGGGAGATTGCTGGAATTCGGTCTGCGTTTGACAAAGACCCCTCCATACCTGCACCCCTCGAATTATTCACCGGGTTCCAGCTGGTCTGACCTATTCTTGACGCCTACTTATTTATTTCGTTAATTTTTGATGGCTGCTGGAATGGCGGGGGCAGCCACCGCAACGTACTCTGCAGATGTTTGGACCTCGCCCGGTAGCGTAGACGCCAGTCACCAACCATGGGACTTTGCTGTTCCCGCGAGACAGAATGTAAGTGTCTGCGAGTGTTGTACCTCGTTTTTGGGCTTGATGGTGTTGGCTGGGGCATCGCATCTGACATGCCATCATCTGCCGGAACAATGGCTGATTATTTATTTTTCTGATAGAGTAACGCTCGTCCCAAGTCACGGTCTCGTGACTCTGGCCACAGAAGATCCCGAGACAAGGGCTCCAGAAGCTCGTCCCTATCCAGACATGCCTACTCACAAGAGGCAAACTTCCTAGCATCGAGGGGAAGGCGCGAACATAGCCCAAAGCGACACGAAAGTGAGCCTGGATTCCCGCGAGACCTGCATGGATATGAAGCCGCGAATCGGGGCGGGAGCAAAGCGCGAGATTCCGAACACAATGGACCTCACAAGGGTAGCGACAAGAAAGATGGGATGGGACAGCATCTGGATGAACTAGACAGTGCGCATTGGATCCATCGCGATAAGCTGGCCCGTATTGAAAGCGAGGAGCTGCAACAGGCGGCCTATCTTTTTCACCGTCGGGCTGGCCTGGAGAATGGCAAGGCGAGCCGGGCGAGAAACCACGACTCTGACAACAGCGGGTTCAGTGGGTCGGTAGGCGCACCGACAGCATCAGAGTCCATGGAGCCATGGCCCAACCTCCGCGACGAGCAGCGCAAGCATACCAGCTCTCCGATGCCCTTTGACGGTGATGGCACTGGAGACGTGACGGAAGAGGAGCGCAGAGGTTGGGATCTTCGTAGACCAGAGGAAATTGCTGCCGACGAGGTGACAGATAGCGCATCGAGTATGTATCGTAACCCGGGACTTCGAAAAAGCTCGTCTCGGATACCCATATCGACGGCCAGCCCGGCACCTATTTCTCCCGAGCATTTGGGACGCGAGTTTCCCATGCAGCGTGCGCGGACGCTCACAAACGGCGAGGAGGAAATCTTGTTGTTTGGAAAGCCACGCAGAGCCAGCGAGCCAATCGCGGTGGAAGGGTCCGACTCGTCTGCCACTCCATCTGCAGGCAGCCGACCAAACAGTCGCGGCATACAGCCCAACCAAAATTCTCTGGCCAAAAGGGGACCAACGAGCAAAGGTTCTGCCACCCGAAAAACTTCTGCTCCTCCCAGCAATACCCGGAAATCGTCGCGGAATCGGACCGTTTCAACCAACTCCCAGCGCCCTACCACCCGATCAGGCGAGCCCCGTCCGCCGCAGCCGATCAATCGACCCGAGGGGGATCCTCCATGGTTGGCGACCATGTATAAACCCGACCCTCGACTCCCTCCCGACCAGCAGATCCTTCCTACGCATGCACGAAGAATGCAGCAGGAACAATGGGAGAAGGAGGGCCGCACACCTACAACGTACGATCGGGAATTTGCACCCTTGGCTATCGGGCCTGACGATCGACCTCAGCTGTCCAGCAAGGAGGAAGATACAGAGAAAGTGGAGAATACGCTAGAGAAGGCTGAAGGGCAATCACTCTCACCGGTACAAGCAGAGAAGACCGACCATCTCCTCGCGTCGCCAAAGAGTCCCACATCAAGACCGAGTTCCAGTACGGGATACAGCCCCATGCCTAAGCTACAGGAGATGCCGGCCGCTGCCCAGGTGGGATTGACGCCAAAATGGAACCCTCCGGTGGTGACTGCGCAACCTCCGCCCCCGAAGGAGAAGGGATGCGGATGCTGCATCGTTATGTGATTCGAACAATACGGTCATTCTCGGCACAGTTCAATTGGAAGATGCCTCAGTCTGACCTCTTTTGCATCTTGTCTACTGTTTCTCTCGCTAGTTCATTCAGCGTCAGGGTTGGCCGACGGTGTTGTGTGTTGCTCCGAGCTGTCCGAGGTTTCTATTTCTTTTCACCCCCTTCGTCTTTCCAATTCGCGTGTGAGCGACGACAATTCCGTACGCATACCTGCTACTTCTAGGCGAGAGTCCCATCACTTGATGATTTCGATATGCATACTTTCCTTCAATTTTCCTTGTTCAAAACTTGGTCTGGACCGATCACCTGCATACCCCGCTGTTTTGTCGTTTCGTTTCCGCCGTTTCATTTTCATACTTCAGCGACATCATTTCATTTCTTATCTGATCTATATCCAAGTTAGTCATGCTGACATCGACTATTCCTGTCGAACGTGCTCACAGCTAAATTACGAATCGTACAAAGCATTCACTCTATGCATTAATCATCAAATGTAGACAGACGATGATCTCATTTCGGCCAAGCACATACTTTTACAAGAAGTGAGAGAGCAACGTACACATAACGCTTAATAAGCATTCGCCATCCGATAACATCATCGGGATCGGAAATCGCACCCACCTAACCAACGAAATATAAGGTTATCCCACGCGCCTCCCACCACCACCACCACCACCCATTGCTTTCTTTTCGTTTTCGTTCCTCCACAACAACTTGCCCACCATAGCTTCCATATTCACCCGTCTGTTCGGCTCCTTCGCCGGGCCCTCCCCAGCAGCCATGTCAGCCGCAAAGACCAAAGCTCAGAACCTGATTAACGAGAATGCCGTTGGTGCGTCCCCCTTCACCTCCTCCCCTTTCCCCTATAATCGAACTTGAGACAAAAGCTGACGAGTGAGTAAAGTGGTCTTCTCGAAATCCTACTGCCCCTACTGCAACGCCAGCAAGAGGACGCTCAAGAACCTAGGCGCCAAGTTTTATGCTCTGGAGTTGGATGAGATTGGTTTGTTTCCTCCCCCAATCTCCTGCTGAATGGAAATGAAGAAAGGTGCTGACGCGTGTGATGTAGACGACGGAACTGAGATTCAGAATGCGCTGTATGAAATCACGCAGCAGCGGACCGTGCCGAATATCTTCATCGGGCAGAAGCATATTGGTGGGAACTCGGAGTTGCAGGCCAAGTCTGCGCAGTTGCCGGCTTTGTTGAAGGAGGCGGGTGCGTTGTAGATTGGCTATAGATACATATGCTTAGAATCTGGTCTACACTGAATCGATGGTGATTGAGATTGAACAGTATAGTACAAGTACAGTAGAAGAAAGAATTAAACAACCTTCAGCACTACGGTTCCAACCGGTCTTTCCACAATCCCCATGACCCCATCCACCACACTCTGGCGCGCTCCCTCGCTGGAGACCGTCTTCCCGGCCAGGTAATTCAACCACACCAGCCGACTGATGCGCTCGTCGGCCACCCGACCAAGGAAGCGCATCGGCTTCGCGGGATCAGGATGGAACAGCGCATTCAGCTCCCCGCGGGCATTCCTTACCAGAAGCAAGGTCTGCCCCTTGGGAACATTCTTCCGCTGCCCACCCCCAAACAGACTCTTGAATTCATTCATCGCAGTCCCAAACGACTCATCCTCGAACTCGCTGGGAGCGCCCGCACCGCCCTCCTTAGCCTTCGCATTGGCCTTTTGCGCCCGCGCCGTGATGCCGCGCACCCAGCCGTCCCGCAGATGTAAAAAGTCCGTGTTGCGCGTCGGCACGATCCGGAACGCCGTGCGCAGCCCGTCCTGCTTGAGGATCTGGGTCCACGCGGCCTCGCCCATCTCCGGATCCAGAAGCAGCTCCTTCAGCCCTTGCCGCTCGGTCGAGACCAGCGACGTCGCCGACGTAGCACCCGGAGTATCGCTAATCACGCTGTCCCGCCCGGGCGGGTTCACCGCCGTGCGGACCAGCCGCTGCTGCAGTTCCGAGATGTCCGCCTTGGCCACGTACAGGCCGACGACGTACACCTGGATCTGGAGGAAGGAGACGGTGCGGATCCCCAGGCCCAGGAGCTGGTATTCGTCTTCTTCCACGCCAGGACCCGCGGGGAGGTCTTCTCCGGACTTGAGCGAGGGGTCGTCGAGGGATCTGGGGAGTCGGATCGTGCTGGGGAAGTGAGGGACGCTGCTCGTGCCGGTGGCGACCTGCTCGACACCGTCTTGTCCTTGGATACGGATCACCGACGGGCTACTCGGGAAGCCGTCTGGGCCGTCCAGCTTTAGCGCTCCGTTGTTCGCATTGTTGTTGTTCGCTGACTTTGTCTCCTCAAGCTGAGAAAGGCCAAACACGTCCATTTTGATGACTCCGTACATGGCTACGGCACAGGCAGCGATACCAACCGCAGACAGAGTCATCGACCGCCGGTATTGTGCGATCTCTGCCTCGCGTGTGCGCGCATTTCCTGACGATCGAAGCGGGTTCTTCGCAGCGGTGCGGAGGGGACGGACGATCGAGAAAAAACGGCCGGGGGAGTGTAGGTGATTCGATTGGAGATATTGGCGTCGGAGACACTGGCCACAAGTACGCCAGGGCAAAGATCCTTGTATCGAAGATGTTGCCGCCATTTTGTTGATATATGAGGTGGACACCGAGGTATGACGAATGAGACCATGAGGTGACGGCGGAGATCAGTGGACGGATACACGTGATCTTCACTGCCCTGAAAGACAGCTCTTCAGCCCAAGTGCGCATACAACCCATACTGAACTATCAATCTTCAGTTCCTATCGAAGAAATTACTCGTACAAAGATGATCCATAGATCCATGTGCAGCCTCTGTAACCAGGTCACACAGTTCATCCAGAAATTCCCTCCGAGCGGATAGTTATTGCAGACCATCGCATATCAAAACTCATAATTTCCATAACCAGCGCGACATGGACCACAAAGTCTGAACTTGCAATTCCTGCATAAGTACATCTGTGAATCAGAGCGCTCAACAACATTCATTGACGCAATCAGCTGTGCAGTGGGCGAAGTGTCTTCGGATTGGATCTGTTCCCAGAGGGAACCCGGGATCAATGTCTCTCTGGGAAAGATCCTGCGCCAGCAGTTTTCGCATTCGTACTCATACTCAGAGTTCTCGACTTCAGAATCATCGATTATCATGGCAAAATCGTGATTGCAGTCAAAAGGATCCAATCTTGAGCCATCAGGTTCGGTCCCGAAGAAGTCCGAATTCTCCTCCCAGTCGGACCTAGCGTCAAGGTCGATATCGCTACCGGCCTCAGCAGCAAAGTGGTTGTGTTCGACAGCTCTAGCGAGCGACATTTCAGGCGCTTGATTCTCGTCATCATCATCCTCGTACGCTGCCTGGTCGTCTTGCTCATCGTCTGTCTCATCTGGGTCAGATCTCCAGCCACCATAACGATCCCAGTAATCCCCATCATCAGAGTCACCCTCAAGGTCCTCGTCTTCCTCTTTATCTTCCTCTTCTCCAGCCTCTCCCTCGTCAACCTGAGTGGCAATCTCCTCAGCGTTGTCCTCATGAACGTCTATCTCGGCCGCCCGCCCCTTGGCACAAATATTCGCTTTGCAGACCTCGATAGCCCGGCAACAATACCAGCACCACTGTGCACCACAACGGCACTGCATGTGACGACAGCCAAACATCCTGCGGACTGCAGCACGGCACTTGGGGCATCGTTTAATTCCCAAGTTTTGCAAAGTCCGCGCCAATTCAGGGTCGATATCCGACACCTGACAAGTAGAGCCGTGGTGGTACAACTTCTTGCATTTCCAACATACCTGAGCAAAGCACTTCGGGCAGAGCACGGGGAATGAGATGTACAACGGGCTTACGGGAAGAGACGATGTAGCCCCACTGGCTGCCAACTGCCTATAAAAGCCACTAGAAGCCACGAGGTTCTTCCATTGTTGCTGTATGTAGCTGGGGGGAATGAAGCCGGAGCAGGTGGGAACGGGGCAGTAGCAGCGGTTGACTGTTCTCCACTCCTCGAATTTCAACTTGTACAAGGCGATCTCCTTATCAGAAAGATGTCTGCGTGCAACAGCCAGCGGGATGGGCTGGCAGCAGCGCGGCGGCATCTGGGCTTCATCCTTGCAAGCCATCAGGAAGATTTGTCGGATACACTCGGTACAGCAATAACAACCGCATCCTTTGCAAGGTCGTACTTGTTCACCTTCAATATCCTCGCTGCAGTAAGCACAAGGACGTATCTCTGCTGGTTCTTCTGCCGGTGCTTCTGTCTGTGCTTCCGTCGGCGCCTCCGGGAGGGGCTCGTCTATGGACATCCGATCGAAGTGATAGATAGCTTCCATGGCTCAATGATTTACGCTGGAGGAGAACGACAAAGTAAGCCAGCAAAGCTACGCGAATAGCATCCTTTGTCAGAATAACACTGATGCGCGTAGTGGGCTGGGGATATAGTACCTGACTGACCCTTGGAGTAAACTCTTTGCTTCGATTCGGACCGCGAAATCTTCGGATAAGCGAGAAGGAAAAGAGGCGATGAAAGAGAGAGAAAAAGAAAAAGAAATATAAACAAGAAGAGGGAAAAAAACGAAGAAGGACAAACACAGCGCATCACGACGACTAATCAAAGACCTACGAGGGGTTCATGGTTGACGTGATATGGCTCCCTGCTGGGTTGAACCTTCCTATTTTACCAAGGCGAGAGATTGAGCATCATGGCGGCCAGAAACTTCAGGATAGGGGCACACCCTTTGTCTACAAGTATTACGACAGATATACAAAGGTATAGTCGGAAAACTTCATTGTTATGTGTATCCCATAGCGTAGTGCACTAAATAACACTATCCACTACATATCACTATCTAACAACTACATAGTGTGATCCTCCTCCAGTCATCGTGATGGTTACGGTTTCATTCTCATATACCAACCCCCTTTTGATGTCATGTCCATCAATCTTGATGGAAGGCTTCTTTGGACTTGTCACAAATGGCAACGTGAGGGTTCCCCTTGTCCCTTGAGGAACTGAGAATTGCAGCGTGTATCCCCTTGAGTTTCTCTTCCAGGACGCCTTGTACTTCCCCAGCATTGTTGTAAATCCGGCCTCGGCAGACTTGAGATCACCAAATTGCGGCGCAATTTTCCAAGTCAACCCTCCCCGCGAAGTAATGGAAAGACCGACGATGTAGTTTGTCAGGGCAGACGTCGGCCCTGCAGACCACCCATGTGCATGCGAGACATAGGAGGCATCGTATGAGTAACCGCGACTAGATCTGTAGCCAAAGGTGCCGTTGGCGAGGTATCCCTCAATGACAGTGCTCTCTGTGCCATTGGGATTGTTGAGATACCACCCCCAGCTTCGCCGAATGAGCTCGAGCGCTCTGGTGGGCTGGCCAGCGGCAAAATGACCTTGGATCTCAAACGACGAAATGAATGGAGAGATATTCTCGGGAAGCTCTGGCGCAACTGCACCGATTGGGGTCCAATTATCTGTCAGCCTCTCGGAAATACTTGCCGCGCGTGTCTCGTTAACAATGCCGAAAAGCAATGCCATGCTGTTTGCATCCTGGGGATGAAGACTCGTGGCCGTCGCATTGTCCTTGAACGCTCCATATGCATCGTCCCAGCAGTACTGATTAATAGCCGTCTTGAGATTCTCTGCTCTAGTGTCCCACGTGTGTGCGAGAGAATGCGTGCTCTCTGCCCAAGCAGCCAGCTGTGCTCCCGTCTTCAGAGTATGGTATAATCTAGTGTTGTTAGAGAGTACCAACTGAGACGAACTGAGTCACTCACATCATCTGCGCTTCTGAGTTGTTATATCCCTGTTGCCATCGAGCCCAATCACGTGTCCCAGTGACAATCAGTAATCCCGACATTTCATCCACCTTTCCATAGATGAAGTCCATAGCAGCTTGATATTTCTGCCAGTTGGTTGAAAGGAAGTCGGTATCATTGGAGAATAGCACGTAATTGTAGGTTCCGATCATCGTCCACATATGGTAGGTATCTGAGTTCTTTTGACTGAGCGGTGGCCCCGATTCGTCAAAAGCACCTGTCGTTGTATTCTATTTCAACTCAGCTCTATGCTTGCGTGCTTGGAATCTAGCGGTAGAGCTTACTTGCGTGTTGTACATGATCTGGAGAGCATTCTTAACACTCTCCAAGTCGCCTGTACTGACAAATGCAGACGGAACAGCAATTCCCATGTCGCCGGGCCAAACTGCGCGGTCTCTTTTAGCCCCGTCGACAATGATGGTATCACCAGGGCCCAGAGTTGCATTATTGGCCCATCCATTATGCAGCATAGGGACTTGACGACCAGTGTTGACTGGGACAGAGTTGGTTTGCAGTGTATAGGCGCCGCTGTACCAGATTCGATTGAGCAGCTCGTCGTTCGAGTGGAAGTAGCCCTGGTAGGCTCGCAAATTCGACCACGTCGGCTGGAAGCCAATTTCCAAGCTCACATCCTCGATCTGAACCTTGGCAGATTTATTCGTGACCAGGAACACTGTCATGTATCGGAAACCCCCACGCAAGGCTTCGCCTGGCATTGTATACGAGCCCTTTCCAGCCTGAGCGAAGTTTGCGTACAGTGCCCCATCAGGACCCTTGAATGCGCCGTTGGACGAATCTGACCACTCGCCTATCCAGTTCTTGGCCTCTGTAAACGCTACTCCTAACGCTCCACTGCCCGAGGAGGTATAATTCAGAGTGACGATACCGCCGACTTCGATGCCAAAGTCGAATATGACAAGTGACCCATTGCCATGGAGAGTGGCCGGCATTACTTGTGCATAAGCTGAGTTCAGGCTCAAGTCGGTGATGGACAGAACCTTCTTAGGACGAACAGTCCTTGAAGAAGGAGCATAAATGCCCTTTTCCCATGGCCCTTCGAACGCACTGCCTTCTGGCCCTGAACAAGTCGTGTTCCTCCAGCATGTTTGTGCTAGAACGACGGGAAGTAGAGCCAGAAGGCTCAGAACCACATTCAAAAAGTGAAACCTCGTCATATCATAGAATATGGCCTTCAGACCAGTAAATCGAGAATAGAACTAGGCATGGATAAAATCAAATGTAGTATCATATAGTGCTCATGGCTACATATAGCCTACTGTTGGAGGCCATGTCCATTCGGGTCGTATTCCCCCAGGAAGCCAAAGAGGGGTTGTTTCTAAGTCCTGCGTGGATGATCTGTTTCTGAGGAGTTGTGCCAAACATATTGGGTCGTTCAATGCTTGTTTGTCAGCCCGAAGGGGCCTCCCAGACTCTCCGCACCTGACGGGGCAGGCCAGTGCTGGAAGAATCGGCCACTACCGAGTATCATGCTGTTATGGACTTGGCCCACACGAAGCTTCCACTGAATGGATACAGTTAGCCAAATGTGCTACCCCGGATGCCAAGTATGCTTGCTGATTTTGGAACCCAGCAACGTGAGACGCGAACCTGACTTTCTTTGGATGCGAGGATCGAGTCGAACAGTGATTCGTGATGCAAGAAGAACAGGCTGAGGAGCAAAAATGAAGGTGATGACATCTATTGCCTATTGGCGGGAAATATCAAGCAAGACCACTTGCATCGCGATACCGACATGAGTAGTGATTGACACACAGAGGACAGGAACAATCTTCTTCCCAGGTCATGGCATCTCAGGTCCTATTTCCTTCGACTCTCCCCGCAGTTACATACGCGCGCATGGTGTCCTTAGCTTCGGTCTATGAGTTTCCTAGCGTAAGTATTGGCAGACTTCGGTGGAATAATGACCGAAATCCTGATTCAGCAATGTCGATCACATTGAACGTTGAAAATGATGATGCCAATGGGACAAATAAAAAAACGAGATGCCAAGAAGGGATGTGCTGCTACAGACATGAGCAGACACCACCGATACGGGTGCTATAATCTCATGCAATGCGTTTTTCGATAATCTCCCTCGTCTCTCTCCCACTTTTCCTCGGGCTGACGTACGCTGGCGGCGTTGAAAAGGACGAACGAAACAATGTCTGTACCGTCAAAGCAAATGGAAAACAGAAGGATGATATGCCAAATCTTTTTAAGGCTTTCAAAGAATGCGGAAATGGAGGGACAATCATCTTCCCTGAAGATCAGTCATATTGGATCGGGACGAGACTTAATCCTCTTCTGAATGATGTCACAGTACAATGGAGAGGAAAGTGGACAGTAGGTCCTCTTGCTATTTGCCTCTCATCAGGCGATTAATATAACTCTCGTGATGCAGTTCTCGGACAATCTCGACTACCGGCGCAACAACTCCTTTCCTGTTGCCTTCCAAAACCATCGTGTGGGCTTCATTATCAGTGGACACAACGTCACCATCGATGGCAACGGCAATACATGGTATACCGCAGAAAAGGGCGTCACACAATCTGGGAGGCCGATGCCGTTCGTCTTCTGGAACGTCTCTGAGGTCAATGTCGAGAACTTCTATGTGAAAGACCCACCCCTCTGGAGTCTCAATATCATGAACGGCACGAACATGCGGTTCAACAACATCTACTGCAACGCGACGTCAGTAGATGCGCCGTACGGCTACAATTGGGTGCAGAATACGGATGGATTTGGGTCGTTTTCTGCAGTCAGTTCAATGTCCCCAGCTGACTCGAGTTCGCAGATACCATGGATGCTGTGAACATTCAACTCACCAATTTCGTGTACCAAGGTGGAGATGACTGCATCACCATCAAGCCTCGATCGTACAATATCGACATCCAGAATGTGACATGCGTTGGCGGAAATGGCATTGCCGTTGGTAGTCTTGGTCAATATCTCGAGGACTCCAGCGTGGAGAATGTCCGTGTGGATAAGGTGAAGGTAGCGCCTCTGTCGACGGATTCCTGCATGTGAGACAGTACTGATGATATCGTATTGGCAGATCATACGATACAACGAAGACATGCACAACTCCGCGTATATAAAAACATGGGTCGGCGCTCTGGTGCCCCAAAGCTCATACGAAAGCGCTGGTCTCCCTTGCGGTGGAGGCTGGGGCAATGTGCGAAATATCCTCTTCTCGAACTTTGAGGTCCAAGGAGCCAACGCCGGACCCTCGGTAAATCAAGACAGCGGTAACAATGGTTCATACTCTGGCTCGAGTCTCATGACCGTCTCCAACATCGTCTTTGCCAACTTTACAGGCTACACAAGCGGTGGTACCAGTGTCACATCGAAGGTCTCTTGCTCCGAGGTTCATCCTTGTTACAACATCGAATTTGACGACGTGCTCCTCTATCCTGGCAAGAATGCATCGAATCTTGGGACAGGATCCTGTAAATATACCGCAAACGGAGGTGTCCATGGACTCGAGGGATGTTAGCTAAGTTGGCAAGAAATAGTCGAAATCGTGACTAGTTCATTGAGGAGAAATACCGAAAACATATCTTCTTTGGAGTGTTCCCAACGTCACGGAGAGCCATTTCGTGTACAAAATCGACTGAGAGAATAGTATCTGACATATATCAAATCATTTAGCCAAAAAGGTGCCTAGTCAACCATCTCTAGCTAGTAGAGATGATAGCGGTAGGGTCAACACAGCAGGCATATACCAGTATCTGTAGTCGGATAGGATATGGGCTTGCTGAGGAGGTTTGTTGTTGGTGTTGTCAACCAGATATGTATATCATTCCTATTATGCTAGAATGACCGTCTAGACACCTTTTTGGCGTCGTGGTTTGATGGCTAGCTGCTGACAAGTGTCATCCGAAGGGCGCACGGTGCGGTGAGGACCGAAAGATCTAGCCGGAAAACTACAGGTATAAGAACGACTCAACTTCTTGATTCAAAATAAAGACTCCGACAAGCAAGAGCAATAGATTTACTCAAACTTAGCCTTTCTTCCCTCTTCCCATACTTTATCGTGTCATTTCAACTCGACAATGGGTCTCATTACAATGCAGAAGCCGTGGATAGAAACGCCTCTGATCGAGTCAGCAGCACTATCCAAGGTAGCTGGATGGTACGGGCATCCTACTCCCTATCTATCCAAACACTAATTGAGTGTAGCAGAATCTTTTTAAAACTCGAACTCCTCCAGCCGTCTGGATCCTTCAAATCAAGGTACAGCACAACAAAAAGAGGATCTTCTAGATACTCCAGACAACTGACAGCCCATCCAGGGGTATCGGCAACCTAATCCGCTCTGCACTTCTCGACCCAGAGAACAAGGACAAGCAACTTCATTTCTACAGCTCTTCAGGAGGTAATGCAGGCCTGGCCGCCGTAATCGCAGCCCGGGACCTAGGCTATCCCTGCACAGTCGTCGTACCATTCAGCACGAAGCCGATGATGATCAGCAAATTGCGGGCGGCGGGTGCTGCTGACGTGATTCAGCAAGGAGCTAGCTGGTTCGATGCAGACACCTACTTGCGGAAGAACTACATCTATAATCAGGATACCCAGCACTCCTCGCGGAGAAACATCTACCTATGTCCGTATGATCATCCAGAGATCTGGAAGGGCGCTGCGACAATGGTATCTGAGATGGTCGACCAGCTACCTCCGCGAGATCCCTCGTCAACATGCAACTTTCCAGCTGATGCGATTGTATGCAGCGTTGGCGGTGGGGGGCTGTTCAATGGAATTGTCGAAGGGGTCGACAGTCATCTGCAATCACAAGCGATGAATGGAAAGGGAAACGCTCGACAAAATGTCAAGATCCTGGCCGCAGAGACCCACGGTGCGGATTCGCTGGCGCTTTCGCTACGAAACGGGACTCTTCAATCGCTTCCCGGTATCACCTCGCTCGCGACCTCCCTCGGCGCTGTTTGTGTCGCTGAAAAGACCTTCCAATACGCAAGCTCACCTCCTGCTGGCATTGACGTAGCAAGTGTTGTGGGCTCTGATGCCGAGGCCGCTCGGGGTGTTCTTCGATTGGCTGATGATCTCCGGCTACAAGTTGAACTGGCATGTGGAATATCAGTAGAGGTTGCTGTGGGAGGACGATTGAGAGACATTATACCGGATCTTACTCCGAACAGCAGGGTGGTCATTGTGGTTTGCGGAGGAAGCAATATCACGGCTGAGATGATAGCAGAGTATCGTCTCCAACTCGAGAGTGGTTGGAATTAGGCCGGTCCCCTTCTCAGTGGAGGAGTGTTACCTGCCCGCCGACACTGCTAAGCTCGAGAAATCCTGATCCGCAACCTGCAGCCATCGTTATCTATGACACCTTCGAGTGGGGACCTCAGACAACGGGCGGTATGACCCGAGAGGTACAGAGTACTGAATACGCTGTACATAAGTGTTATTCAAAATAGGAAGACATCTGCTGGCGCTATGGTTCGAGAACAAGACCTAGTGAGTATTCACTGGGAGTCTTGAACCTTGACGTTTTGTAATATGGGGTTTTCCTTGGCCGTCTCCTCGCCGATATCAACAAGTCTACATTCGATGCTGGTGCTGTCCGTGTCGAATTTTCTTTCAGCTTACCAGCTTCAACTTCCTTTTGCTAATTCTGTTTTTTGTCACTGAGTTCTAGTAGATCCGTGCTGTCAGGTATCGAAACAGTCGAAGGCAACTCACTAGTCAGAGGTAACTCGAGTTTTGCAAGGTTGGGTTGACTACAGATTTAGTTCTCGCACCTATTCGGCGTCGAAGTTATCCCTGCCTCTGGTCTGAGTTGAGAGCAAAGCCCAGGTCTTGGAATTAGTCTTCTCCTGGTGCCGTAAATGGTGATTTGAGTGCAGATCGAGCTTCAATCACCTGGGATGTGGCTAGCTGACCTCCATGACCCAATTCTTGAACAAGAAAAAGATTACGCGGTATAAGTCTTATTTGCGTTCTTCATTTTCTCCGGTTTCTTCTCATGGGGACCATTGGATTTACCTCAAGCCCACATAGGCATTCTTTTGCACTCAATACAAGCTATGCCGGTTAGTGTAATCTAGATGCTTTTTCATAATGTAGAACCACCAATAAGTCGTTCAGCACGTTTGAATGTCAGGTACAAAGCCTCAGGGACATAAAACTTGATTACTTTCTTGTCTTATTTTTTAGTCATGTCGGGTGGTTAACTGAGGCCACCGGGTGATGTTCAACTGGATTGATAAAAAAGGCTGGTTCAGAATAGTGGACCTCATTTCCTTAGAACTTGCTTTGTAAACACGCTATACTTCCTTCTAAGTAATAGATAGAGACAGCCTAGGGAGATGCAGAATAGAATCAGCTCAGGAAATAACGATGACTTGTAGAACGTTGGGAGCGGTGTGTGTGAGGTGATAATAATGGGAAGGCAACACCGCACACATGTAAACAGAGAACGAATATGGGAGAAAGAGATAGATGAGGGCCAGGAAAACAGACCAGGAAGCTAAGGTAGGCAGAGAGAGTGAATGAAACACACAGACAGAGCAGGCACACAGGCACTTACTGTGTTTGTCTCCCCTCTCAGTCTCAGTTGTTCCTCATCTTCCAACCCTCACTCTCCCTTCTCCTCTCTCGCAACGTATGCCATCATCTCGTGCTGTCATCAAAGCCTGTCATCCATAGCCGTACCATCGTCATCGTATCTCTGTCTGTTGGTATCTGATTCTCCGTCACCGTATCTGCTCATACTGGAGAATAACGCGTTTGCCTTTGCCTTCCCTGGCTGTGCTGGACAGTCAACGTTCAGCAGAAATGGATCGGTACGTAACAGCTTTTTATGAGAGTAGTTTGACTAACTCTTCAAAGAATCACCGAGGACCTTCCATATGAGATTCAAGGAGACACCAAAGTGGATGAAGATTCTTACCGCAGCCACAACACACCCCAACTCCGAGCTGTACTAGGAAACGTGAACGACCTAGGGATTGCAAAACTGTGGAAGTCACAAGAGGTCATTATCTCCAACCATGTCCGCGGGAATGACCTCGAGATTTCCGGAGGAGCGGCCCAGGGACGGACGACGCTGTTCTAGTTAGTCTTGTGGCAGTTGTGAGTGAGCTAGTCAATACGTCAGATGTAGAGGGCCCTCATGCCCTCTACATGGCACCAACTCACGAGCAAGCGACAAAGGCCCTTGACATCATCAGTATCTTAGCGAAAGATACTAACCTTGCTGTTTGTCGCCTGACAAAGGCAAACACCAACATGGAGGACCCCAATTTTGTGTGTTTGCGGGACTATGGCATCGTAGTCTCAACACCGGGACTTGTCCTCAAGATGGAGGACAAGTCTCCAGTATTGAGTGGGGTGAGATATATGGTGATCGACGATGCTCATATGTCTCTCTTAGGTCAAGGTGCAGCAGCAGTCCATACAAAGAATGTCCCTATACAGAACAAACATCACCCAGGCCTGGTCACTTCAATCATCTCCAATGAACGACTGGGTTCTTTTACCCAGTATCTAAAATCTGCAACACATGTTTCTATGCAGATTTCAGATACTCGGGCGATGCTTAGCTTATCCTACATGCCCATAACCGGTCAAAGAGCCGCAACAATACAGCGAACTGTCTTAGAATCATGCCAAAACCAGAAGGTGGTGATCTTCGTCTCTCGGATTAAGGACGGTGAGTCACTTGCAGGCTTGTTAAGTGACGCTGAGCTATCCGCCCAGGTGACTCACTCTATGAAAGAGATGAATGAGCGGTTGTCGATCATACAGCAATTCAATGAGGGTAGATGCCGGATTTTGATTACATGTCGCATCGGACTGTCGGGTATATGTCTGCATGGCGTCAATAGTGTCATTCTAGATAGACCACCCGAGCGGTGGGCCGATTTTCTCGCCGCAGTCCGTAAGGCTGGTCTCATTGCGGCTGGTAAAGCTTATGTGATATTGGACAGTACCGATCACGCTGAGGTTGAGCGATTCCAAGCTATCATGACCAACTTCTATCAGATCGAAAGGGGCGCAGTTGGTGTTGAAAAGATTGACAAATCAGGCCGACATTCCTTTGGACCCAAAGCTCCGACGACCAAAATCGTTGTTCGAGGCTTTCCATGGTCTAAAACATGTTCCCAGATCATGGAAATGTTTCCTCTTGAATACAGACCCCTTAGAATTGAGCTCGCAGCAAATCTTGTTCGTGAAGCATCTGAGCCACTGACTGGTGTTAAGTGAGTATTTCCTATCTATTATCAGTTATTAATATTCATCTGTTATCAGGAGGCTTTACTTCAAATTCAATACAGTCGAAAAAGCGCAAGAGTTCATGGAGAAGTACGACGGCAAACTATTCGAAGGCCGAACCTTACTCCTTGGCTTCTGTGGTGACCAGCCTGCTCGAGAGCCACGTCATCCTGCCAGCGCTCAAGTCCCTAAACCAGCTACACAGTCGCAAGAGCCAGGCAAACATGTCCGTCCTGTTGACTCTCGGCCACATCCTCAAAACCGCCGTGGCCCTCGTTGGTCGCCATTTCCCCGTACGCAGGGGGCCGTAGGGCGCCAATTTGCCAATCACCCAAGATGAAGCATAAGGCAAGGGCCCTGTCCCGAGAGAGGTAGTCAGGTTCGATATCAACGGAGTCGACTCTCGTTGATGCATTTCATTGATATTTCTTCCTCATTATGTGGACTTGCTTGTTTTCTAATGGAACCAAATCATTCGAACTCGAGATTAGCATAGTCTTTAATGCAAAGTCACATTGCGAGCATCTCGCAACGGACTGTCATGAGAACGACAATGTCGCCTGTAAGGAAAACCAATCTTGAATTTACCAGCGTACAAGTTATCTGTGCTTGTTTCTGAATTGGCTTATACACTGTAGATGGAGCGTCGCCAAATGTCCTGCTTCAAAGCATCTGGATGAGTCGCCTATCTCACAATTTCCCATGAGCGAAAGTGGTGCTTGTCTTACTTGCTCGCTTTGCTTTAGGCAATTCTGGCCATATAGACTGTTGGAACGCAAGATATAATGACTGGTTCGATGGCCTGATCCATCAGATATCGGCCACCTTTATATAGGTGCTTTGCAAAGACTAGTGTATTCCTGAACACCGAGTAGAAGATGTCAGTTGATACTGATAATCTCCACGTGATAAGGGGTCGATCCATCGCCTTGCCTGGAGTACGTGTTCGCTCATTGCCCAGCTTTGGCTATATATGCTCATCAGATGGTCGCAGTTGTATGTGTTTAACAATGCTGCAATGCGCTTGCTCAGCCAAGGAGCTCCATCCACTCATGCAGTTGCAATCGATCTTCTGGCCCATGATGGGCTTGATAGAATAGTAAGCACTCTAACGATTCAACGCCGGGCTCAGCATCATAGTCAAGTCTTCGCTAAAGGGGGAAGTCAGAGAGAGGTTTAAGCTCGACTTCTCGTGAAACGAAGCGTGGACATAGTTTGATCGGGAACTCTGGTTTATCTCTATGACTATGAGCTCTAGTAAGAATAGGCTATTTCAGCCACAATATCGAGCTCATCTTAGAATAGCCGAGCCACGCGCAGTATTAGATCGACCTGTCTCCGTTTGCAACTTGAACTTCACTACTGTTGATTTGACCCCACATTAATCCCGGACGGTGCATTATGTGGATAGTGCGTCCCGATGATAATGCGCTATAATTGTGGGTTCAGACACTGGGCTAGGCATTTGACCGCTAAATACATCGAAGCCATCGTTTTGGTGAAAGTCTACATTGGACATATCGTTGTCCAGCGAACTCACTCCAGTCTTGAGGGAGTGTGTGATGAGAAGCCATGGTTCTCAACCTCTGTCCCCCGAAGTGTTCGGAGGGAAGAAACAATTGCCAAGCTCCATGGCAATTCTATTTTTGTCTCGAGTTGATGTTGGTATTTAAGTACCCGAAAAAGAATAAGTCGATCATTACTTCTCACCAAGCACAGCAACGGCAGATCCTAATCTATAGAGAAGTTCAGAGAGGATATGCGACAGATGGATCACCAGGTTACCTCGACGGCACTTCTTGATAAAGATGGAGGGAAGTACGGAATGTCGATGCATCCCTGGGTGCAATTGACGAGCTCTCTGAGTGCTCTGTAGCCATTTGAGTATTTCAGCACCTCGGGCCTCTACGAAATTTAGGTCAAAAAAGATAGGGGCCTCTGATGTAAATACCAGAGTTACTTTGTACTAAATACTGAGCGCAAGTTGAAGAAGCTAACGAGTTTAGATCTTACCTGTTTAGGCTTAGTGCTGTGCTCCTGCCCCCTCTACTAACCAGACTAGGTCTAGCGTCGATTCCCCATTCCATGGGTGTCAAGGCATCTATCCATGTATTTCTGACACTAGTGTTTTCTACCCCTTTTGTTGATGTTGTGACTTGTGAGGCGTGCGTCGTACTCAAAATAATATCCATTCTCCACCATCGTCGTCATCCACCCTCCTGCCTCTGTGTCAAATGTTATGCATAACAGATATTGGAATGTCTCTGGCTCTCAGGCCGTCAGCAGCCGTGGAAAGTCGCAGACCAAGACCGATAATAAGGGTATCGACTGTCCATCAGAGAGGTCAAAGTACTCAGTACGGTCTCCGTAATGAACGCCGAGGCTTGTGTTCCCATCATTACTAGATCAGGCAGTGCCACACCCGCATTCAGAAGAGATTCTTCAACTAGGTCGCTAGTTCTGGCTTCGATCTTTTCCTTTTGTCCCTTTTCTGTTACGTGCAGCGTGCACCTGCAGCCAACTGGAAGTCTGCGGCCCCCTTTCCCCCTCTCTGTGCTTGACGCCTTGGTTGCCTGTCATGCACGTTTGGCATGAGTTCTCCGCTTCCTCCACAGTTCCCGAGCACGAGTTCCTGCAGGTCGCTGCATTTGCATGGGTTCCTACTCGCATGAATAATGCCAATATTCCAAGGATCAAAATACCTACGAGGCTGCAACTCCCATACATGAAACCCGACTAAGAGTCTCATTCCTCTTGTGGGGATGATCGGCCTTGGGGTGCCGTCCCGTTCTTCGTCTTTACTGGTCAACCCTTCCTGCTCGTGGTATGTGGAAACAAAGAACACAATTCTATTTGGTGCTTGCAAAGTCAACTTCGCGAACCGCAAAGACTTGAAAGGGGAAACCGAAAATCACAAAGTACAGTGGATGACCCTGAGTTAGTACTCCTTTACTACTTCTGTTAATTCAGCTATTTTGTCCTGAAGAGACTTTCTCCGTGCATCCTCCTTCGAGCTTCATTCTTTCTTCTTTCCCTTGTCCATCATCGTGCGACTCCCTCTATCGCGTTCCTTATCTTACACGGGTTTCAGTTACCCTTCGGGCTTGGACGAATCATTGACTGACTTGCTAAAGTGGATATATTATTTGCATACCAGACCGAAGTGCTCTTAAACTCTTGACCTTCGGTACTTTGATTCCCCACCTCTGCCCACTGCCAGCCTGCGTCCTGCTCGTCTTCGCTCCCCTTTTGCGAATTACTTTACTTTCTCATCCTCCTGGTCACTACTTCTTTAATGCTCGTTGTACACGGTCATAATGAGCGTCGTCGCCAGTAGACACGAGACCGCTGCTGTGCCCTATACGACAATGCCCCATCATGGACAGGTGCAAAACTATAAGGATGCTGCCTACGGGGTGACAGTACAGCAGATTCCCTCACGAAATTCATCCATCTCTTCATTCAAAAGCAATTACACCGTTTCGACTTCCCCTACATCATATTCCCCTTCCTCGCCCACTTCTTCATATCGCCTTTGCGACTCTGCTGCTTCGCTGGACAAGATTCTGGAGCCGGTCTTCAAGCGTCTACCCCAGGAGGTATATGATGGCATTCTCAATCAACTACAGTTTCTGCATACAGGCCCAAACCAGTCGGGTTGCTTGACATGCTTTCAGCGCGACCTGTACGCTCTTTCCTTGACTTGTCGAGTATGGGAAAGAGTGGTTCGACCCAAACTGTGAGTGAATTCAATCACAGCTATTTGATGGTGTTGAAACGCTGACGAGCTTTGCGATGAAGCTATACTCGCATTCACATTATCGGAAATGATTCTCCTGCTCAGCTGAAAAAGTATCGGATGAAAAGGGGCAGCCGCCTAAAACTTCTAAGACGGACCCTACGCGAAAGGAAATCGCTGGCCAACCTTGTCCTGGAGCTTCGTGTTCCGCAGATGGACCTTCTCTTCACAACAAGCAAGCACAGTAACCAATGGGAAGAATACCGAGACCTTGTCGCCTCCGTTGTTATGGTGTGCCCCAACCTGGAACGGTTGTTGGGTTTGACCATCGCGTACAACCATGAGTTCGATCGTCTGACCCATGCACTATCGACACGGAAGAAGCTCAAGGAACACATATGGATTTTGGGAGAGGGGCCGGAGGTCTCCGAGGAAGAGTCTCCGCGCAACACTTCTTGTCCGGGCAGCTTGGGTCCTCTGCAGATGTTTGAGTTTCTGGATTACCATGCTTCCTGGTCGAATCTTGAGACTCTGATGCTCTATGCGTTGAACGGGAAAAGTGCCCTCGAGCCGAGCATCTTCCTTCGCATGTTCCACCTATTACCCTCGCTGCGTCATCTTTGCATCTCATCATTTGATGCGGATGCCTTCGCCGATAGTGCTTTGCTGTGTCTACCGCCCCTGGAGTCACTTCGGCTGGAAAGCCTGCCAGGCATCACTGATACCGGACTATCACAGTACACCTCGCGCCCGGAGTCCGGCTCGCTAAAGTCCCTGGCTCTCATTGAACTGAACATTCAGTCCTTGCTTGTAATCTCGAAGATTTTAGCATCGCTTAGGAATCTAGAGCGTTTCAAGATCGTGCAGACCAACCATTGTCCGACGTTGAATGCCGATGGGATTGTTTTCCAGCCGCTGTTTGCGTCGTCCAGCCTCAAGCATCTGCATTGGGACGTCGCTTGTCCCAATCCGAATACTGCCCTGACGAGATTAGACTGTGCCCCATTCGCCAAGCCACCAAAGCATGTTGACACACCAAACTCGCATCTGGCTCAAAGCATTCTTTGCTCGGGTTTCCCCCGTCTAGAGACCCTTCGAGCACCCTCAGATATAGAGCCTCCCGGAATACTTCAGGCTGTCTGCCAGCCTATTCCTAGAGGGCAGGCCCTGATCAATTCTGACCGATACAGCCTGCCTCGGAGCTCTCACGGCTCTGTTAATACTCGCCCATTGGCCCTCCCAGCGGGCAACAATCTAACGTCGGCACGAATACGGGCGCAGACCTTCATTGACATGGCTGCCAAGGATACGGAAACCGGAATGCAAGTTCTCATCACTGATCACTCCGATTCATACGTACCCGACAATGCCTTGGAGGATGCTTCAGATGATGAGCCTGATCCAGGCATGGGTCAGTACGGATTGCCGTCCTCTGGAAGGGCAAAGGAAGAGCGCAATGGGCCAGTCACAGTGTTCAACTTCCGAATGCCAGCGTATATGGGCCGAGTGGGTAGTAGAACTACGGAGAAAGATGTCTCAATCCCTCGATTCATACTCCGCCCCGACCTACCT